ATGAGATTCCACTGTGAGGAATTGTTACAAATGCATCTTATTCTGAAACGGTACGTTGCCAAAGGCATCTTTCCCCTTTGTGTGAATGTGAAGGTGGAGGGGATAACAGAGAGACCAATCACAGAGAGAAATCAGGGCCTTTTTAATGTTCTGACTTCAGAACTTTTTCCTTGAAGACATTTGTTAAGTGAGTTTTGCCCCATTTTTACAACCCTTCTTACCACAGTTATTAAATGAATCATTGCCGCAGTTAAGTTAGTAACACGGTTGTTAAGTGAATCTGGCTTCCCCATTGACTTTGCTTGTCAGAAAGTTGCAAAAGATGATCACATGACCTTGGGACACTGCATCTGTCATAAATATGAGTCCATTGTCAAGCATATGAATTTTGATCACGTGACCATGGGGATGCCACAACAGTTATAAGTGTGAAAAACAGTCATAAGTCACTTTTTTCAGTGCTGTTGTAACTTTAAATAATCACTAAATACATTGTTGTAAGTCAAGGACTACCTGTAATGGGTGCATTAAGTTAATGTGTGTGGTGTGTGTTGTTTTGATCTTTGATCTTTATTATTCTTCAATCAAAAATGACAAATGCAAATTCAAACAATGAAAAAAAATTACAATATGTCAGGGACAATAGGTACATTGTTACACTTACACACATCCTCTTAGGAACCTCTTAAATATGAGGTGAGGTCCACAGAAGTTAAGAGAATTAAAACTATGAGAGTCAGTAGCCGAGACAACTAAATCGGGTAAGATATTCCAGACTTTGACAACTCTGTTACAACTCTGATTTTTTTAACAATCAAATTTAAACTTTTAACATTGTAGGCTGAACTGAAGGCTGATCAATCATTGAATAACCTAAATGAAAAAAATTTAAGAGCCCATACTATAATAGCAATATCAATAATACTTCATGGTACCAATACTGACTCATGATCAGCACAGTTGCTTATGAAAATACCCAAGTGTATTAACTTATCCGCACAACTGGAGGTTTCCTAATTTCCTAAGGAAACTCAGGTCAACATGCAGATGTAGTGTTTTGCTCGCAGTTGGGCAATGCATTACCTCCCTGTTCCATAATAAGTTAAGAACGATTAACATATTGTATTCTTCCTTAGTGGACAAGATCTAATTTAATGAGGAATAAGATAGTATGCAAAATATTTGCCATTTTTTCTTCTGTTTAAACAAAACAGAAAAAGCAATCTTGACACTTTCCACCAGATAGATTTTAATAAAGATATAATAACTATTTTATCTCAATGGAAAACTTCTAATTAGCTCTAAATAAAAACAAGAAGCAGTTTGGTGCACTGGCTAAAGTGGTGACCTAGAAACCAGGAAACCAATTTCTGTGCCTGCCTTAGGCATGAAAGCCAGCTGGGTTACTTTGGGCCAGTGTCTCTCTCTCTCTGTCTCTCTCAGCCCAGCCCACCTCAAAGAGTTGTCAGGAAAATAGGAGACAGAAGTATTAGGTATCTGTTACTTGAGTTAAATATAAAAAGGCAGGATAAAAATCTAAACATTAAACTTGAAAAAACAATAATATATACATTTAAAAATGTAAATAAATAAGAGATACTCTTTCCCAAGCAGTAAAGAAACTTTAGAGGAAAATAATTCCAAGAAGCAAGAGAAGGTCGTGGAACACAAAGATTAAAAGAATTGCAACTTTTGTAGCAGTCCTCTACATTTATAATTATGTTTGTGCATTAAGGGATCTTCCTGAAGCTTTAAAAAATATTGTGAAGTTTTTTTCCTATATCAAAAATACTGTATTGAGTATGTTTCATAATAAAATAACAAATCTCCATTGTCTTACGAAGGGAAAAAAGATCTTTAGTCATCTCAATTAATGTACCATTCAAAAAATGAAGTTTCATAACAAAATATTTTTCTAACACCGAAAATGTAACTGCCTTTATAAAAACTGTGAAACAAATTGCCAGTGTAAGCCTAAATGCAGCAGGCATGTGGGAAACAATTATTTTGTTATAACGAGCCAAAAGTAAGAATATCATTCACATAAAGCTAAACATTAAATCATCATAATTATAGAAGGAAAAGCAATAAAGGCAGCAGAATTCAGCTCAGTTGCAAATTATCAGTACCACAAGTCCCTTCTATATTCTGGCAGATTTCTAGAACTGGTGAAAAAGAACAGTGAAATATAATGAATCAGTATGACTACTATGATATAGATGTATAGGAGAGGAACTAAAAGGAAATTAATATGGTTTTATATTTTCTAGTGAGTATGAATAACTATATGCATAAAATTCCCTTTCAAGATAAGCAACACTATGTAAGTGCAGGGAAGGTATAAGAAGAAATGAGGAAAAAAATCAAATCATAAGCTAAAAACAATGAAAGAAAATACTAAATCTACTGTGCACCAACACCATTCGCTACATGTTTCCACACCCTTCTATTCCAACCAAAGTGCTGAAGCTGCTTTCCCAAGATTTCAGTTTGATGACTGAAAATAATGGAAGGAAACAATACAGCTCAGCAAAGTTGTTATATATTAGTTGATTTAAGTATAGCATCTCTGTTATGTTGTTACCTGATAAAAGCCTTTCTCCTACAATGTATTGAAATCAGTTTCAGAATAAATAGAAGTTATTTGAAAAATTCAGCTGGATACAAATAGCTCTATCAAATTTTAATAATAAATGTTGTACTTTTCCAAAGAAAACTGGCTTCAAAATTTTCAGTACTCCTCACAGTGTGTGCATCAGAGAGGAATCTCTAGCCCTTGGGATGTTGCTAAACTACGACTCCCAGGAGTCCTTATTATCTGGCTAGGATTGCTGGGAGTTGCCATTCATGCCATGGATCATTCATGTGAGTGGGGGGAAAATCATAAATATGAGTCAGTTGCCAAGCATCTGAATTTTGATCAATGAACATTGGGATGCTGCAACAGTTGTGTAAAAAATGGTCATAATTCATTTTTTTCAGTGCCGTTGTAACCAAACAATCACTAAACAAATTGTTGTATGTTGAGGACTGCCTGTATATTTATTACTTCTAAAAGTACAGCTTGATTTACACTAATAAAAATAACATAAAACACATTCAAATACTTGAGAAAAACACGTGCTCAGTCCCAGACTAGAAAATAAAGCGATTGCCAATCCAGTTTAAACTACAGTTAACAGTCCACTTATAGCTGTTGTTTATGAATCATTGTTTGCCAAGAAATGTTCTCTGGTGCTTGTCAAAGCATTCTGTAAATCACTATTTCAAGTAATCATGAATACATTTATTTTATTCCAGACATATTTCGGGAACAGGACATTTTTAACACAAAAATTAATTCTTACATCAGAAAAGCTAACACAAGGAAGAATATAAAGGTAGGACAGTGTCTCAGTTCTCATAAACCAAACATTCAGACTGAAAACAGGAAAATAGGATGAATCCAACTGTGAATTCTGTGTTGCTGTTCTGGGCCAAGGTGCCCACAACCACCTTGGCCCAGAACAGCAAGTATTAATAATAATAATAATAGTAAAGTTGGAAGGGACCTTGAAGGTCATCTAGTCCAACCCCCTGCTCAGGCAGGAAACCCTATACCATTTCGGACAAATGGCTGTCCAGTCTCTTCTTAAAAACTTCCAGTGTTGGAGCATTCACCGCTTCTGGAGGCAGGTTGTTCCACTGGTTAATTGTTCTCACTGTCAGGAA